GATGCCGATCCCGATAAATTTCCAATAATCTCCTTAATTAGAGAAAAGAGAGATTTTGGCATCACGGCAGCCATTGTGACGGCCATTGCAATGTCGGCTGCTGCAGCGGTGACTGCGGGTATTGCCCTAGCCAATCAAGTTCAAGCAGCAGAAACAATAAATAATATAGTGAATGCCTCGGTGGATGCTTTGGTAAAACAGCATAAAATGAATAGCCATTTGATTTCTGGGATACTGCTTGCTAATCAGCGAATAGATCTATTACAAAGCAAAATGGAAGAAATTGGTGATATTTTTCAAGTAAGCTGTGTAAGTCATACTAAACACATGTGTATCACACCCTTGAAATATAACAATGAGTCTTTTACAGAAAGTACTAAATTATCTAATTTTTTACAAGGAAATTGGTCACAACAGGCTGAGGAGCTACAAGAAGAACTCCTGCTCACGGTTGCTGTTTTGAATGGGACCAGAATTAACCCGATTGATGTTGAAGACTTCACTTCCTGGCTCACGTCCGCCTTCTCCTTTTTTAAGGAGTGGGTGGGGGTGGGAATGTTTGGCTGTATGATCTTTGGGGGAGTGCTGATCACACTCTGGTTGCTCTGCAAATTTAAAAAACAACATCATAGAGATAAAGTACTTATCACTCAAGCACTGCTTGCCTTAGAGCAGGGAACATCCCCTCAAGCTTGGTTGAATATGCTTAAACAATGAGACACTATCATTCAATGGGATACCCTGAGGGCTCGTGTTCCCATTGCACCAGGAATCCTGAGTGGTAGTCCTCCACACTTCCCAGGGCTCGGGTTCCCATTGCACGGGAGATAAGTGTGGAGGGTCTCACAACTGTTTAACTGCCTTGAACGCCTTACTGGTAGAACAGTGGGCTTGATCGGCGAAATAACAGTTGGAAAATTGTTGCAGCAATTTAATAAAAAAGGGGCAGATGTTAGGAGCCGCGTTCGCCATTGCAACATGGCGCCGGTTTCCTGCTTCCTGGTTCTTCTTGCAAGCCTTGCTTGAATGTGCGCCTGCACAAGGCGCGAAAACCAGTATGCTAATTTGGCGATATCATAAGAGCCAATGAGTGTGTGGCACGTCTCCTAAAGCTCTATATAAGCCACAGGTTTTTGGGGCTTGGCGTCCCTCACCTCACTGCCATCTAAAAGAGCTGTAACAATAAACTGCTGTCAGAAGAATCCTGAGTGTGGCGTTCTCCTTATCGGTGAGGCGGCGCCCCGCAAGCTTCAGCTACATAGGACTAATGCCAGCCTAAGGCGCATTAACATGTGACACCAACAATGTCAGCTCTGAGCTGAAACAGCTCCTGCTGGGTTGTCAACTGTCAGATTTAAAGTCTGCTAAGTCCTAAAGAGCTTAGGTCACAAGTAGTTATCAAGGACCAGAAACAGAATCTGTCCTTCAAATCACTGTACCAAAAGGGACAGTGACAGCCGGGCGGTGGTGGTGCACGCCTTTAATCCCAGCACTCGGGAGGCAGAGGCAGACAGATTTCTGAGTTTGAGGCCAGCCTGGTCTACAGAGTGAGTTCCAGGACAGCCAGGGCTACACAGAGAAACCCTGTCTCGAAAAACCAAAAAACCAAAAAACCAAAAAAAAAAAAAAAAGACTGACTAGCCCACACAATATTTTCTCAGCAACCTGAGGAAGCCCTTTGCTTCTTTCCCTGGCTCCATCAAGGCTGTAGAGGCCTGTGGCACATCAGTAAAGCAAAAAGCCAGGCCTTTTCTTCTACCCCAAGGTCTCACTCCCACCATGGGCTGAGTGTAATAGGGCCGGACTATAGTCCCAGAACTCCAGAGGTGAAATCAGGAGGGTCAGAAATTCAAGTCTAGGTTCTACAGAGATGACTCAACAGGTAAGAGCATGTCCTGCTCTTGCGAGCCAAGCTCCCAGTACCCGTGTCAGGCAGCTCAGAATCACCAATTAAACTTCAGCTCCAAAGGATCTGACACCCTCTTCCGGCCTCCAGGGCACCTGCACTTATATGTGCAACATCCCACCCCCAGCACATAATTTTTAAAATGTGGGGGTACCAGAAACAGGGTCTTACTTTGTTACCCTAGCTGGCCTAGAACTCACAGAGGCCTACCTGTTCTCCATGCACTAAAAACAAAAGAGCCAACAGGCAGGGTATAGAGACACAGAGCTATAATTCCAGGCCTTCAGTCCTTGGGGTCAGAAACAGGAGGATCTGGAGTTTAAAGACAGCCTGGGTTACATGAGACCCTGTCTCAAAAGAGAAATGGCAGGGAGCAGGCTAGTGGAGGGAGATGGTTCAGTAGTTAAGAGCACTGGATACAGAATGCTCTCCCAGAAGACCCAGGTTTGGTTCTCAGCACCCACATAGTGGCTTATAACCACCTTTAACTCCAGTTTCAGGGGATCTGACACCTTCCGGCTTCTTCAGGTACTCCACAAGCATGCATGGTATACTGTATGTGCTCAGGTACACACACATGCACATAAGAGAACTAATATGAAAGTGTGTGAGGAGGTCGAGGAAGATGTAAATAGGAGGGAGAAGAAGACTTTGTGATTACTGAAGGTACCCAACTTAGGGAGTAAACAATCAGGACAGCAAGCACAAAAAATGAGAAAATCTACTTTTGGTAAGTTCTATGTGTATTTGTCTCCTGGTGACTTCTGAGTACCAGTCGGACATGAAGATATGCCACAGAGATATCTAGAGAAAGGGCAGTGTGAGATGGGTGCCAGGCATGGGACAAAGAGTGGCAGAGCAGGCTGCGTGCATGCAGGCACTATGCCCAGGGAAACCTGATGAAGCCCTGTCACCAAAGGTGACTCAGTGGTCTACTCCCAATAAGTTTGCTGCAGACAACACTGACCTAGATTCTGATGGAAATAGTTGCCTGTGGTTTGTTGCTATTGTTTTGTTTTGTTTTTATACTGGAACTTGGAATCCAAACTGGTTGAAATCACCAGTCCTTCTTCCCTTGGGCCTGTGCAACTGTCTAGTGGGTGACCTTTGGATTAAGACCAAACTCCACACTTACAACAGGAAAAGTCTGGAACGTTCTAAGCAAATATCCTGTGGAGATCCGTGACATTTGATCACCCTGTGCAGATCACAAATCATCTCATTTATTTTTTTTTTCCCCAGTTGCCTTCCCTACAGGTCAAGCCATCCTGTCTGGGGAAGACAGGTTTGACAGTGGGGTAGAAGTCTGTCTTATATTTGGGTGCCCCATGAATAAGCTTTACCTCCCCCACCCCTCAAAATTCATCATTTTGGTGATTGGCTTAACACGCAGTGAGCAAAGCAGGCTTTAGTGACAATATGATCAGATAGAGAGTAGGACCTATGCACATAGTCCCAGTGTTGGGAGGCAGCGGCCAGAGGATCAGGCTCACGGTCCTTCAGGACATAGTGAATTCAAAACAGGATGGGCTACAGGAGACCCAACTGCAAAACAAAAATTAAACAATTCACATTTTTTTTTGTTTTTTGTTTGTTTTTCGAGACAGGGTTTCTCTGTGTAGCCCTGGCTGTCCTGAAACTCACGCTGTAGACCAGGGTGACCTCGAACTCAGAAATTCACCTGCCTCTGACTCCCAGGTGCTGGGATTAAAGGTGTGTGCCACCACTTGGCAACAATTCACATTTTTAAAAGAGTTATTTTCCAGCCCAGTGTAGTGGTGCATACCCATAATTCCAGCACTTGGGAGGCAGAGGCAGGCAGGTCTCTCTGAGTTTGAGGCCACCTTGTTCTATAGAACGAGTTCTAGGACAGCCAGGTCTCTAGAGGAGAGTCCCTATCTCAAACCCCACCCTCCTAAAAAATGAAAGAACAACACCTACAGCTCTTGCAGAGAATCTGAATTGTGTTCTCAGTACTCACACCCATCGAGTAGCTCACAGTGGGCTCACAACTATAACTCCAATTCCAGGGGGCAGACACCCTCTTCTAGCCCTCATGACCAATACACACACACACACACACACACACACACACACTATTTAAAGATTTTTTTTTAGGAGCTGGAGAGATGGCTCAGCTGTTAAGATCACATACTGCTCTTTCAGAGGACCAGAGTTCAGTTCTCAGCACCATGCCAGCTGTACCTGTAGCCCCAGGGAACTGATGCTGCCTTCTGAACTCTGAGGCAACCACTGCTCAGATATAGCATACTATTACAGACACACACAAACAGATAATTTAAAATTAGAATAAACCTTACTAGATTTTGTAGACCAGGCTGGCTTCAAAGTACAGAGATCCACCTTTCTCTGCCCCCAAGTGCTAGGATTAAAGGTGTGTGCTACCATGCCTAGCTTTAGATTTTATTTTTAATTGTTAATTAGTTACAGGCAGTTGTGAGCTGGGAACCAAATTTAGGCCATCTGCAATATTATATGGTCTTAATTGCTCACGAGTAGCAACTAAACCTTCTCTCCATAGCCCTGTGTTTTCCTCTTTGAGACAAGGTAGTTATGTAGGCCTTGCTGTCCTGGAACTCTCTCTTTAGACCAGGCTGTTCTCCAACTTACAGAGATCCACCTGCCTCTGTCTCCGGAGTTGCTGGAATTACAGGAGTTTGCCACCATGTCCGACCACATTCCCATTCCCGCAGTTTTAAGCAGGTGAAGAACGTTTAACCTGGGTGTATTTTTAATTCGATATATTATTTATTTACATTTCAGATGTTATCCCTTTTCCCCAATTGTATCACTTTATTGTTTTTTGTTTTGTTTTGCTTTGTTTTGTTTTGTTTTTTTACAGATGCTCTCTCTTATGCAGCGCCATCAGCTCAGCAGGCCATTAGGAGACACAGCTCCAAGCCTCAAAGGTAGAAGCCTACAAAAGTGGGAAACTATAGACAGAGAAGGGGGTTGGGCCCGCGGTGCGCGGCCTCCTGGGACTTGTAGTCCCCGTCCTGTGAGGCGCATGCTCTGATGCTCTGAGTCTCCCGCGGTTGCCATGGCTTCTCTGAGCCTCGGTGGGTGGCGCCCCTAGACACGGGCGGGTTTTGGCGGCGTAGCGCGCGGAAGGCGGAAGGTATCACGCGGTGGGTCGGGCTGTCTAGTGTGGGGGACTAGGGTGCGCTGGGACCCGGGCTGCCTCTTCCCTTGGCGCACTGGCTGCGGTCTTTTCTTCCCAAACCCATTACGCGCGGTGAGGAGAAGGACGCACTCGGCACCCGGCTTTTCCCGGGTGGGACTAACAAGCTTGACCGCTAGTGGCAAGCCCCAGGCCTCTCTTCCTGGAAACGGCCGGAGCTGGGCCTGCCTGGATTTTGTTTTAACACAGGGTGTTATTCTGTAGACCACTCTTGTCTGTAACTCAGAGATCCACCTGCATCTGCCTTCTGAGTGCTGGGCTTAAATGCATGCATCTTGGCTAGGCTTGTCTTGTTTTGTCTTGAAATATTCCATAATCCAGGTTGACCTAGAGCTCACGATGTAGTTCATGTCGGTTTGGCATTTGGAGTACGCCTGATGCTTCAGACTTTAAAGTGGTATTATAAGTGTGCGCCAACATGCTTGGCTAGATTACATATTAACAAGTGCCTGGCAGAAGGACATACGTAAGCTACAATTTACAATAGTGGTTCTCAAGCTGATTAGCACATTAAAATTATCTGGGGAGTTGGTTTTTTTTTTTTTTTTTAAATATAAACTCCGAATAGGGGCACATGCCTTTAATTCCAGCATTTGTGAGGAAGAGACAGGTGGATCTCTGTTAGTTCCAGGCCACACTTGTTTACATATCAAGTTCTAGCCTACTCAGGGAGTAGGGAGATACAGTAAGACCCTGTTTTTTTTTTTGTTTGTTTTTGTTTTTTGTTGTTGTTTTTTCGAACAGGGTTTTCTCTGTGTAGCTCTGGCTGTCCTGAAACTCACTCTGTAGACCAGGCTGGCCTCGAACTCGGAAATCCGCCTCCCTCTGCCTCCCAAGTGCTGGGATTAAAGGTGTACACCACCACTGCCTGGCAAGACCCTGTTTTTAAAAACAACAAAAACAGAACAATCTGGGACTCTTCCCCCCTCAGCCAAATGAATCTAGATCTCTGGGATGTGAAGGATGTGGAGGCCAGGCAAAAGTTTCCCCAGGTGTGTCCAGTGCAGCGAGGCATCCGGACCACTAGTATGGAGTTTTCAGGGCTTGGCAAAGGTGAGTTACATCTACCTGTGTGCTCCTCCCCACAGTGAGCAGCCAGCCAATGTGGAACAATGGCACTGAGCCACTCTGTGAAGGAGCGGACCATCTCTGAGAACAGCCTGATCATCCTGTTGCAGGGCCTCCAGGGCCAAATAACCACTGTGGACCTTCGAGATGAGAGCGTGGCCCGAGGACGCATTGACAATGTTGATGCTTTCATGAACATCCGCCTGGCCAATGTCACCTATACTGACCGCTGGGGACATCAGGTTGAATTGGATGACCTTTTTGTGACAGGTCGTAATGTCCGATACGTCCACATCCCAGATGGCGTGAACATCACTGCTGCTATCGAGCAGCAGCTGCAGATCATCCACCGTGTGCGCAACTTTGGTGGCAAGGGTCAAGGTCGTCGAGAGTTCCCCTCCAAAAGGCCATGAGACTGTGTCCTCATTAAAGTTCCAGCACCACCTCAGGGACCTCCAGTATTCTGAGCCAACTCCCGGCCGTCCTTCCCCACCAGTGACCTGGTGTCTGACAGACATGTCACAGCTGCCTTTAATAGGGTTCCACTTTTCGGACATACCCTGGAACCCAGAATTCCTTCTGCCAGTAGCCTTGGGGTAGGTGACAGTCCCTCTTTTTTGATCCTTTGTATCTGGAATCTCCATTCACTAATTGACCCCATCCATCAAGGATTTGTCAACCTTGACAGTGAGGATTACTGAGTGTTTGGAGTGAATCACCTCTTACGTCCCATTTCTCTTGGCATTTGTTTCTTTTCTCATAAAACCAAACTTGGATACATACACGCCTGTGCCTGATGCCCTGCCTGGTGTACACTGGTCTTCTGGCTCCTGTGTAGGTGGAGAGTGCAGGTCTCAAGTTGGGGAGTATACCAGGATTCACTTGGTCTAGAATGTGGTCCTGTTTCCCAGATCATCATGAAGAAATCTAACGGAAAGTGGCCTTCCTGTAGAGAGTCCCTGAGACTCTCACCCCAACCCTCCCCTCAGGCTGGAGAAAGAAATCCGTCTCAGCCAGCCGCAGTGCTTCACATGTATAACCCTGGCTTTCAGGAGGCTGAGGCACAAGGATCAGCCTCAGCTAAGGGTGAAATCCTGCCTCAAAATAAAAATCAAAAACAAAACAGACCAGTTGTAGTGGTGCACACAGTATGATTTATGGAAGGTGGCAGAGGCAGGAGGATCGTGAGTTTGAGGCCAGTCTGTGCTATGTGTTTTAGCCAAATGGTGGTGGTGAACACCTTTCATCCCTACACTCGGGAGGCAGAGGCAAGTGGATCTCTATCAGTTTGAGGCCAGCCTGATCTACAGAGTGAGTTCCAGGACAGAGAAACCCTGTCTCCAAAACCAAAAAGAGTTAAAGACCCCCCCCCCCAAAAAAAAAAAATGGTCTGAGGAAGTACAGCAAAGGTACTGCACCTCACTCTGCTCAATTCTTTTTTGTGTGTATGAGTGTTCTGCCTACATGTGTGTACAGGCACCATCTGTATATCTGGTTTCCTCAGAGGTCAGAAGAACGCATTGGTTTCCCTAGAACTGGAATTCCCGAGAGTAGTGCTCCACCATGTAGGTGCTGGGAATTGAATCTGGGTCCTGTGCAAGAACAACCAGTGTTCTTCATGCTGAGCTGTCTCTCCAGCACAAAATTTTATTTTATTTTACCTTATTTTATTTCTTTTCCTTTAAAGACAGTTTCACTATGTATCCCTGGCTGCCTTAGGATTTATGTGGACCAGACTGGCCCTCACTGCTTCTGCCTCTGAAGTGCTGGGGTTAAAGATAAGTTCCACCACACCCAGCAGTGTTAGATCTTTGTTTGTTAGGTTTTGAGACATGGTGTCATGCATCCCAGCCTGGTCTTGAACTCACAATCTTCCTGCTTCCACCTCCCACGTGCTGGTATTGCGGGAGTGTACCACTGCAACCCACTTAGGTTCATCAGGTTCTTTTCTGCTCCCTTTAGGTCCTCTTAGGACCAGGACGTTCTTGGATCTTAGATCAATTAGGCCAAATGCAGCCCACAGCTCTAGAGCTCTAGATCCCTGGAGGGTCTTGTTGTCTCACAGAGGGAAATGGGCTAGCTCCTGTCTCCTGCAGCCCCTGAGTCCCAGCGGGAACACACACACACACACACACACATACACACACATACACACACACACACACACGTCTCAGGCTCCCACATCCACCTTTTCCTTGGTTTTCTAAATTTGTTTCTACACAGGCATTCTTTCCATTCCTTCCTGGAGGCTGGGCTTTTGGAATTCAGAAACTAAAAATAGTCTCTGCATTCTGTTGTGTCTTCTGTTTCCTGAGGTAACAAATGGAGGGCGACTTAGCTGTGAACAAGAGGGGCTCAGGAACACCAGGGACAAGATGGCAGTGTGTTTCAAGATGGTACTGGAGTCTAGATTACCATAGCATTTGCCCAAGCTTCCACATCCACCCTTCCTGCAAAAAGTGGGGTCCCGTTGATGGTAGAACCCCCAAGAACTGAGTGCTCAAGCAGCATTGTTCATACCCACCTCTCATTTTGGGAGAGAAGAGGTGTTTTTTTTTGGGGGGGGGCTCAATCAATGTTCTTTGTAGGGAGGAGTCCATGCTGAATGGACATTTATACGTTGGCTCATGCCAGAGACATGTAAAGGACAAGAGATGCCCTCGCCTCAGTATGGCTGAGCAGGTGGGACTTAAACCAGTCCAGGGAGCCCCTGTCTGGCATCCCTGGCCAAAGGGTAGGCAAAGGTAACAAGAGCCCTCAAAATTCTCATTAACATTCCAGGAAAACCCAGAGATACAGTGTATTTTGTGACAAGGGATGAGAGCAGCTTAGATTCTGCAAGGGCGTAGAATTATACCAACAGCAAGGTAAGCGTGCTAGTAGCTAGTTCTGGTCACAAGCTTAATGACTGTTAGCCAAGGCTAGAAGAAATCAGCTGGGTATGGTAGCCCATGCCTTTGGTCCTCAGAGGCAGGGGCAGGTAGATCTTCCTGAGTTCCAAGCCCAGCCTGGTGTGCCTACAGAGAGAGTTCTAGGAATACATAGGAAGACCCTAACCCCCAAAGGTGAGTGGGTGTGGCATGACCTATGGAGGAAAAATGGTATTTAAAGGGAAAAAAACCGAACAGTTTTTAAATGTCACTCCAGAAAGGGAGGGGACTCTTCCCCAGCCGATGGTTGAGTTCAATGGGTGCTGCTGGGCAGCGTAACGATGGTCAGAAGTAGTCGACTACTGCTGCTATGCCCTGTGCTGGGAGCCTGGTGAGTCCCACAAGGGGCAGCGCGGCAGGCTTACCCCATGGATGTACAGTAACAGCTTCATCAGACAGAAGCATAAAGTGATGGCTCAAGGTGGACAACAGTGGGAACTGGAAGTCAGGCTTCTCTAGTACCAGGTTCCACGTCTTAACCGTGTTTTGTGTTTGCTTTGTAACACATGGTCTCGTGCAATCCAAGCTGGCCTTCAATTTACTGGGAAGGAAGGACGCCTTCATCTCCCAAGACACTGGGATTACATGCCGGATTTATTGTAATATTTCGGGATGGAACTTAGCGCGTCACATATGCTAAGGCCAGCATTGTACCATCTGGGCTACTTCTCCAGCCACTGTGGCTCTGTTCTGTTTCCCAGTACTCTTGGCATTTATTCTATTGCTCACCTCCAGTGTGAGTTGGATACTCAAAACCTGATATACCACTGGATCTTGTAGTGCAGACATGCACCAAAAAAGCAAAACCAGCACCAAACCTTGCCATACTCAGGCCTTGGAGCTTGGGCTCAGAGAAGCTAAAAACCACCTGCTAAGTAGGGCTCGGGTTCTATAGTCTGAAAAAGCTCCTGGGGGTGAGGTCTCCTCCCCTCCTTCTGTGATAGTCCAATCTGCCTATCTCTCTTCAAGAAGCCATCTTGAGCTGTTGTGACAGGTGTCACTTTGTTATGGCAGCACCATCTGCCAGTGAGCCAGAGTCGGAGAGCCAGCAGGAGACTGTCACCATGAATGTATGTCCCAGAGATCCTTGAGTTGGTGTCCTGATGACAGTTTTTTTTTCTTTTCTTTTTAATATCCTCTGGCTGGCACTTTTAGTTTCTATTCCTTATCCCCTTTCTCCTCTGCTTTGTTAAAACTTCTATATTTTGAGTCAGCTGCGAGCCTACCAGGAGTTGGGATGGTGGTGTCAGCGCCCAGTGATTCATCTTACTGATAATTAGAGATCTGGAAAATCCAAGACTCATCCCTGTCAAAGGCAGGGCTTCTGGAATTCTTATCCCCCCACCCCCAATTTGTCAGAGAGGGGAGCAAAGTGGGCCTGGCTTCTGGGTGCCTCCTTTGGGTCGTGTGCCTCCTAGAGGTTCCCTGACTGAGACCAGTGGGCATTTACAGGGTGTGGTGAGCTGGATCTGAAACTCCTTGGGTCTCCCAGAATTGGTGTGATGTGTTATCCCCACTTGGACAGCCAGGATTTACATGAGTTACCTAGTTTGTAACTGATATGAGGATTCAAGCTCTAGTCTTTTGGAATCCACCAAACTTTCTTCAAACCACAGCCCAACCATTATTAGCTGAGCGTCATGGCAAAGGTTACCCTCTCTCTCGGAGTGCTACCTTCTGCATTTGTATACAGGTCTCTAAAAATGTTTCACTTTGCATACGACAAGCCCTGGGAGCTGCTCTTATTAGTAGTTATACAGCACTATCGGCAGCTGAGTGGCCACCAAGCATTCAAAGGGACTGAGAAAGGATGCAGGCTGCAACAGCTAGACCTCATTAAGACCAGCCTTCTTGTCCTGGCAATACCTTGTGAAAATGTGAAATAAATGCTTACTCCTAGCAGGGCTTAGTCGAGGCCACGTGTGTCTACACGTGGATACAGAATGACCCAGGGGAGGGGAGGAAAAAGCTGAGAGAGTCATTAAGTACACTTATTAACTCTGAGACAAAGGAGTGGGACTATGGCCGCTGGTACTGCTGCCACCGAGCCCTTCTGGCCGCTTCTACACAGCAGTGGACGGAAGCCAGGATTTTCGAGGGCCCCCAGTGAGTCACCAGACTGATGCAATCCCTTTAAAGGGCTCATCTGCTGGTGTAAGAAGCTGATTCATGGAGGGCGTGGCTGTTGGAGGAGGAGAAAGGGACGGAAACTGGCAGGAGGCAGTGGGGTAGAAGCCGGCTGTGATCGTTCATTGGAACTCTTCACTGCAATCTCCCTGGGCAAGACTCTAGGGATGTCCAAGATGAATTTAGCCATCTTTGGGGTTTCTGAAGGGCCTAAAGTGAAATGAATTGTGACAGTAGCGACAGCAATTTCTGACTTCTCTTGAACCCAACTTCAGCGTTTTCCCACACAAATCTACAGAAGGCGAGAAATGGGGAGCAAGGAAAGGCCACTTTTCTAAAGAATGCGGTGCAGTTGACGGTTCTTGCAGCCACTTAGAGACGTCCCCAACCCCAGCAACGAGAGCAAAAGTCGGCGAGGTTCTGCAGAGGCAAGGTGGGGCGGCGCCTCCGTCCCAATCCCACTGTAGATGTAGATTAGCGGTAAGTACCGCCCCCTGACTGTCCAATCGCTTTACAGATTTCGACCCAGTCTCCACCCAGAACCAATTGACGATCTTATCTGGGTTTCCTGCCTGAAGGCTTCCGCCCATCCTGAAGATGGCGCACCAACCCCAGGCTCAGGCGAGGGGGCGGGGGGCGTGGCCGAGGGCCGATGCGTCACTTCCGTTGTCAGGTGGCGGCGCCGCAGCCATGGAGGGAGGCGGCGGCGGCAGCTCTGGTGGCTACG